CCCAAAAGTAATTAGAATGTGGTGGGGGATAAGCCTAATAATTAATTAATTAAATCAGCTTCAGGCCAGTCCAGTTCTCAGGACCCTTGCGGTTAAGTTAGAGGAGGAATCGCTTGTTCTCATGGGAAAAAAAAATACAAAACAATGGATGATATATGTAAGTACTTGCTATTTTTATCTCATGTAGATAAAATAGGTCATGTAGATAAAAAGTATTTGCTCGGTGAATGTTTTTCTTGTGTAAACACCAGTCCTTTGGAGAGATTTGGTTACCATCTTTTAGAATGCCCACTAACTATATTGTACCGAAATCTCAGTACATTAACATTATTCACAGCACACAAACACACACATGTTGGTTAGTAACTCTGAAAGGGAACCAAGAAACATTCCTTTATACTTGAATAGACTGTCTCTAACCAGCATTCTCTATACTCCCACTGTGTTTGACTACAGTCGCTAGAATTCCCGGCTAACACGGTTAGTGGTTTTGCTGCCTGGGAATTCTGGCACTTGTAGTCTGAACATACCTAGAGAACTCCAGCTTGTAAATGGTTTATTTTAGTTTGTTATCAGCATATGGCTAATTCATATTTCGGAGGAAGATCAATGAGCATGTGAACATAGTTTAATTGTAAAATTTAGAGGTACCAGTGTTAGTCATAGGAGGAGAAAAAGCTGAAAGTAACAGTACATTTAAAAAAAAAATCAGATCAACAAAATAGTAAGTTTATCTATTCTCTGGATATTCCAGGGAGGCAGTAAGGAAGTGTACCTATATTGAAAAGTGCAATGTGGGCGCATAATGTTAGTTTAATTTAACTCTGGACCATATTGGATTTTTCAGATGCATTTTATTTTTCGACTCACTGTGTGGTTGGGATACTTTGGCAATCATGGCCTGAAAATATGCCCAGGCTGTGTGACCTTGGCCCTGCTAAACTTTATAAAGGCATTAGATACTGTTGATTATCAAGAACAGTATGATTGACTATTAGATTTAGTGAGAACTATGGAAGTTGCATTTATGGTGGTTCCAGTTGCTCCTTCCCGGGGATTCTAGAATGATTATCCTTCATCCCAAAGTTATCCCAGCAACATAAATTACACAACCGGTTGCCTGGGGTCTAGTAAAAACATTGTGCAACAGAAACACATGGGACACAAAGGCACATGAGTTTATTTTGTTGATGTGGTGTTTTTAGTGGTTTCTTCAGAGTATCTTTCTGTATGGCAGGGACAACATGTGAGAACTAATCTTTGAGATTCAAGAGTCCATCTTTGTGCCAAACCGAAGTTTCAGATTGTAATTGTCTAGTAGTACCATCAATTCTATAGCCACAAGTCTGTTTTTGTGTTTTAACTATGGTTCTGTTTAATTTCTGTGTCACTGTTCTTAGCCTCCTTGGCCATTATGATTGACAGAAAGGGGGGATAGAAATTTAATAAATATAATAATACCTTTGTTGCCATTGGTCTTCATTTTTTCCCCATCATCACTTCTAACAGCAACAGAACCAGCATAAGACTAAAGTAAATTATTTGTTTCTCTTACTTTATATATATTTTATATGGAGTGTGGGAAAGTGGATAAAGCAAACGAAACAAACACCTGTAGCTTCCAGCATTCACGAATTCTGTCATCAGCAGCCTAAATCTTATACATAATGTAATTTTGATCATTGAGCATACTCGAATCTGAGATGACCTGGATCTCCAAAATGACCCAGGTCCCATCCATGTATTCCTTGTGGTCCACCGCTCTTACTAATCTTCCTATCTACTTAACTACCTACCTTCTATAAGAGATGGATGAACCCTGATGAATGTGGGGGATTCATGAGGAATTGAGTCCTGATAAAGAGATTGAGTCTCAGCCAAACAGACTTCATTACTGGAATGCAAAGTTAGCTGAAACAGCATGGAATAGATAAGCAAATGGTTACTAGGCTTATGCAGGTGCAAGGGTGCAGTTTGGGTGTGGTGGAACTGCACACTGTGCTACAAAACAGCTGCTATAGATAACGGACAAACCCTATAGCAGGTTGCTATGGAAATGCCATTATTATACACAGGTGCAAAGGTAAACCTTTAGGGGTTTTTCCACTTAGAAATATGTAAATGACCAAATGTGAATTCCCAGTGCAAATTCTGTGTGTAAAATGGACTACATAGGCTTGTTTGTATGTGTACAGGTACTCCTTGTTTAAGACGCTAATTGGGATTGGAAACTCCATCATTGAGCGACATGGTCGTAAGTTGAAAAACCATGTGACTGTGCCACTTAGCAAAGGCAGTTCTGGAAGTCCCATTTCCCATCAATAAGTGAGGACTGTGTGGGTCATTAAGCAAGGACCTCACATGACCATGACTTTCAACTTCCTGCTGGCTTCCCTGTTGACTTTGCTTGTAGGAAGCCAGCAGGGAAGGTCGCAAATCATGATCATGTGACTGTGGGGATGCCATAAGTACGAGGACTGGTCATAACTGCCAATTGTTCAGCACCATTGTAAGTTTGAACAGTCGCTGAATGAATGGTCGTTAAATGAGGACTACCTGTGTTTGGGGTCCTTCACCTGGGAATGTTACTTAATGTCTCCTTGTGTGTCTGACCAAGACTCTGCAGACTCTTAATAAAGTTTTGGAGACTTTTAATCCATCTCCTGACTGAGTAGAGGAACAGAACCAAACCTCGCCATCCAGATGGCAGAGAAGGGAGAAGGGTGCTGGGTTTTTTAATCCGGCTAAATAAAGATTATTTTAATGAAAGCATGAATGGCAGTCTAACATGCTACAAAGCAAAGGATATAACCTGTATTTCCATCAAGACCTGTGGGGCCCACATAGATCACTGAGGCATTCTTAAAAAAAATGCTGATTGTGGTGTGTGTGTGTGTGTGTGTATTACAGTACTTTGTTTGCTTTCTGCTAAATAGGTACTTTGTGAATGACCACACTTGCCATGGCAACTGTTTTGTGAGAGTGCTATGACATGCTTTAAAAATTCAAAATGTACCCATTGATCCCAGAGGGTGAGGGACAACAGGCTTAAGGCCTTCCTGCTTGATTGCCATGTCATTGATTTGGGCTTCTTTCATTGATTTGAAGTGTGGTTCATGCAGAAGGTGTTTCTGGGGTCATGTTTTCTTGATGGTAAATGAAAATACAATCTCCCACATCACAGACAGAAGCTTTGGGTTATAGGAAGGGAAAGTATAAACATACAAATGTTAGAGTTATGTGGATTACATTGTAATTGCATACATAACTTGCTGGCTAATCATTAAAAACTGTTTTCAGTTTTCTTCTTATCAGTTTTGTCTGCATAGTGCCTTGAAAGGGTACGATCGTGTGAGTAAATTAGCAGAAGAATTGAGTGTTTACATAACCAGGAAAAGTGGATACTCTAGCACCTTTTTGCTTCCCTTCCCTTTCCCTTATTACACATATATTTTTAATGCATTCAATAATTTTAAATAACTTCTTTGTGGTATTTATTTTAACAAGCTTTCTCAGGTCACAGAGTGTTCAATACATTTACTCAAACAGAAGAAATGCGTAGTGGAAGTTAAAGAACCTGAATGGTTTTCCTCCTTTTAGTTATCACATCTCTCTTCCCTGTGAAAAATTCAGATGGCATAATACAAACATACAAAGCTCAGTTGTCATCTCCACAAATAGATTCCTCCTTCAGTTACTTCTTGTGGACATATGAAATTCTCTGGGCATGGAAAGTTCCCTTGTGTGACAAAGTACAGCATCCAACACGCCCAATCCTGCAGAGTAAAAAGGCTGCCATGCTTCCTTTGTTATACATTTTAAAGGAAGATCCTAATGCTTTGTAAAGCTTTGATCTGCAACTTCAGTTTGAAGGCATTTACACCAAATCTCCAAGTCTGATCAATGTTCTGAAACAGATCAATGATTTGGGTCAGATTGCTGAAAGAAATTGGATGGCTTTCAGCCTCGTTGGACTATTTGAAAAGATTAGGAAAATCTAATGGATCCAGTTGGACCCAACTTGAATCTCAGTGTGGAACCTAATCAATCTTCTGAATTGATTTGAATTCTCAAATCTGGTGAAATGAGCAATCTACACTGAATCAGTGATTCAAATTGAATTGGAGCCAGTCTACGCATCCCTGGTACTTATCTGCCTCCACAATGGTTTACTGCTACTTCTAAATCCAGGCCTAAGGGTTGCATTTCTAGGAAAGGACAAAGGCCCCCTTCTAGAGGTTTCCTTCTATCTCCTAAAGAATCAGAAAAGTATACCTGTATATAGTCTGTCACAAAGGTAAGAACCCATGCTAGGCCAAAAGTCTAAATAAGTTTCAAATTTGATTTATTAAAACAGCCAGCAAAGAGGAATCTGAAATGGTCAGTTGCTATTGAAGATGAAACAAACATACATTTTCTAACTAAAAGTTATTGGACTTTGTTTCACATATTCACCTTGAGGAAACTTATGGGCCAATTCCCTGGAACTCCCTTGAAGGGTCTGTCTTTACCCTTCACAAAGCAAGTTCATTTAATAGGGTTTTTAAATGTTTTCTAGAATGGTTTTAGGTGGGACATTTAAACTGATGAATAAATAACTTGGATGACCTGATCAATGATTTTCTAAGTGATTCTTGCAAAATCTTATTTAGAAGAAATAGGGATTAAGTTTAATAATCAAGCATTTATAGAAAAACCCTTTTAATGGATAGATCCACACATTACAGTAAGCCCTTCTTTATTTTAATCATAATGTTTGACTAAGTCACAGATGGCTGAGTTCACACACAAGCTGTAATGGCTAGGCATAAGCCAGAGTCAATCTTATGGCTTCATGCGACATGAAAACCAAATTTGTTAACTTGGTTTGGAACTCTGGTGTTGATAAATCCTCTGGCGCTGTCAAGACATGTTAATCAGATTTTCTTTGCCTTTTAGGTGGTTCTTTGGATCAAGAAGAATGTAAAGATAAAAACTGTGCTCTGCTTTTTCCTTTCTAGAATTCTGTCAAGTGCTGGGAAAGAGCTGAAAGATAATTTTCTGAAGACATTGGCAGAGAGGGAGGAAGCCAACCGTAATGGGAAAATGTCTGTGAGTAAATTTGAAAAGAAAGTTTTATAAACAGTGTACGATTATGATGAAAATCTACCATCCAGACCCTGGAACTATGAACTGTCTATATCAGAATGTTAAATCAGACAAAACTTTTGAATTTCCTATAGAAGAAAGTTCTGGGGAAGGTTTAGAAAGAGTCACTGGGAATTGGGGTGGGCATATAAATTTAATAATGTATTATTACCTTTGTTGTTATTATGGCACAAGTTGAATAAAGATTGTGTGAAAACATGGAGAGATTGTATAGTACAGAGTCTCCCCTCCCAATAGATTAAAGGTCTGCAGGTTTTTCAAGCCAGCTGGCAGTGTTGTGCATGGGTACCAAAATATTAAAAATAAAAATAAACAAAGTCTTGCAAGGCTTCATGTGAAAAACAGCGATCTTACAAGATTTCAACAATTATTTAAACATTAAAGATTAGTGGGAACCATTCAAGAGCATCGTAGGCAGGGTGGACTTGTCAGATATCCTGTTGACAGTGACCACTGAATTCAGTCATATTCATATGAGAGGATCTCTCTTTGTTGCTGAAGATTTGGAGAATGAGGGATATTAGTAAAATTATATTGTGGAAGACTTCATCACAGGTTCCAACAATGACCTTTGTAGAGGACTATATGTATGGGGAAATGAGGCAAATTTTCATATATTCCAACTCATATATTCATCAACTATAAATAGATATGTGGAAAGTTGTGCACAATGGCTGAGTCACACTTTCTAATGTGTTGTTTTAACACTATTAATATTTGAACCATGATTGTGCTTGAATATGGTGGTTCAGTATGGGTCCTCCTGCAATAGTAATCCTGCTTTCAAGGTTACTTGGACTCTCATATACAGGGGCAATTTTCAGAAGAGCCATCACCGATCAAATTACTGTGGTCATAGCAGGTGATCTTTAGACCAATTGTTGAGACAAATAGAAAACACTGTCTAAATGTCAGTAAAAGTACTTAAAAGGTCACATACAAAGTGGTTATAAGAACATAAAAATGCTGAGGCTGAATTAGACCAAGAGCCCATCTAGTCTAGCATTCTGTGTTAGACGGTAGTCAGCCAGCAGGGCAGAAGCCATTATCTTCTTCCATTACTGTCTCCCTGTACCTGATCTTCATCGTTTTCTTCCTGGGATTCAGGAGGCAGCAAAATGCCGTCAACACTAGTCAACATTGATACTCCAATGGAGCCAATGTGGTTAAACTGGTGTATTGGGACTGGGGAGGCTCAGGTTCAAAGTCCAGCTTCAGATATGGAAACTCACTGGGTGACTTAGCCAGTCCTCCTCTTTCAATAAAGCTGCTACTGTAGGGATAAAATGAAGGGAGATCTCAGTATAAGCTGACTTTAGCACTTGGAGGAAAGGTAGGATATAAATCTAACAAATAATAGGCCCATTCCCTTTTTAAAATCACCTGAATTGGTCTTCATCACCCCATTGGTGGTGGCTAAGTCCGTTTTCACTGTGTAATAAAAGTCAGGAGCTGGGCAATCCAGAGGTAACAGTCAACACTGGTATTGAGGTTCCTTCTGGTGCACCATCCCCTGTGGGCCCAGGTTTGTTCTTTCTGGGAAGTCTGCAGGGCACTGAATGACATACATAGTATGACTTCAGTTCGGGGTGGCAGAGAAAGTCAGAGCGATCGCAAGGAGAGCCTTGTGTGTAGAGAGCTAGAAGAAACTGCAGAGCCCTGAGCCAATCGTCCATTCTTCTGAGAGCCCCATCAGGCTTTTATTAGTGACCAGCATCTTGGCTGGGTTCTATCTTGGCATACCGGTGGTCAGTGGAACTAAAAATATACAAAGATACCACGCTGTGATTATTTCATAATTACTTCATAATTGCTGGATATATGCCATTTGAGACATTTGGAAGGGGCTTTTATTGTGGAATAAATGGTTGTTGGAGTTCGGACAGGTCTCCTCTTTATTACAGTTTAATATAATAAAGCCTATTAGAGTTTATAGAGTTTATTTATGCTGCTGATTATATGGTGTGTCTATTTGTGCATATGTGCATAATCATCCTCTGTCTATCTGTCTGTCCGTCCATCAGTCCATCCGTCCATCCATCCATCTTCTAAGTGTATATAAATATATCTGTCAAGCCACCCAGAGCCATTTGGTATTGGCAACATCTGAATTAGTATATTGAATAAAACGCATCTGTGTGGGAATATATGTACTCGCTTACATGCAGAAATTGTATGTGCAACTTCAGAAATGGGCAGGAGGTAGCTTGGGATTTGCTAAAATAACACTACGTGTTTGTGATAAATAGGGGGGTGTTTCCAACTTGCATTAATGTAATCCCTAGCGACATCATAATACATTTTTGCTACCTAAATTTGGCTATTGGAAGGAAGAAAGCCAGCATCACCAGGAGTGCAGCTTCATGAGAAAAAATGTATGTGCGGTTCTGCTCGTGTGCTAAAATCCAATTTAGAGAATCTGCTTAGAGATTTTGCTTATTCCTACTGAATGCATTCATTGTACTCACGGCTCTGATTGGCCCATCACTGGGCTTAATTAAAACCAAAACCAAAATAGATCAGTCAGATTTGAAATCTGCCCATCTGTCCTTTAAATAATTCATGAAGAGTTCTTTTACATAGTCACTGTGGCTTGCAAATCTTCTGTATGTACTTTCAAATAATATGCAAGTTGATTTTCAGTCTGTTTTTCAGAACAAACCTGGGACACCCTTTCATATATTGATAAAACTTCAGGGATATTTTTCTTTAATGGAATTGTGCAAATGGAGCTAAACAGATTACAACTTGGATTATTAGTAACATATAAGAATAAACAATATGAGTTTATTGCTTTATCTTCCATGTGTTGCCATATGTTCAGCAATCTTGTAGTCTATCTGAATGCTTCAGATGTATAAAACTACATATTTCTATAAGTTGATACGAGATATTTTATAATTAGTTTCAGTGTGGTTAACGTTAGTTAGGAAGTAGAACAAGGAGCCTCCAGCAGAGGGAACAGAAGTAAAAATAACAGTGATGGAATTTAGGATGAAACTAAATTGAGGGAATGCTGGAAGGAGTATTTTAGAGATTTGCATGGTAATGATTGTGGTAGTAGGACTGAAACTAATGTTATAAATATTAGTATTAGAGAAAAAAATTGATGAAAGGGAAGTTAGACATGCCATGACAATAAGGCTGAAGATGCAGAAGGTATAACTGGAGAAATGTTAAAATAAGGGTGCAGTTTGCTTATGGGGTGTCTGGGCAACTTGTTTAATGTATGTATGAAAACAACCTCTTGCCTAATGATTGAAATTGATGAAAGGGAAGTTAGACATGCCATGACAATAAGGCTGAAGATGCAGAAGGTATAACTGGAGAAGTGTTAAAATAAGGGTGCAGTTTGCTTATGGGGTGTCTGGGCAACTTGTTTAATGTATGTATGAAAACAACCTCTTGCCTAATGATTGGAAGAATGCTTTTATTGTTCCCTTGTACAAAAGGTAGCAAGAGTGAGTGCAAAAACTACAAGGGTATTCATTTGTTAAGAGGGCCTGGAATGCTGTTTGGCAGAATTCTGATTGTAAGAGTATGAGAGGGGTCACTGAGCAAAATTTGGGAAGTGTAGGGTGGCTGGGTAGGAAATATGGAGGCAATAGGCTGGAATTATGGAACATTTTGTACAAATGTGGAGTTGAAGGTTGGCTGTTGAATGGTTAAAAGCAATATAATGGAAGAAAAGCATATGTGAGAATAAATGGAATACTTGAATGGATTGGGAGAGAACACAGCGTAATGCAAGAAGGTGTGATGTCGCCTTGTTTTTTTTGAATGATTTATGGACAAATATATACATAATGCACGCAATAAAGTTAGAGGTGTCTTTGTTGGGTGTGTGCAGATTACATGAACTTTTGTATGCTGGTGAAGCCATGTTGTTGGCTGAGAACCCAAATGATTTGCAGCAAATGGTATAATATTTGATGAGACAAAAATATAGAACTGAAAATGTCTCAGAAACCTAGGGGGTTGCATTTGACAGAGAAAAATAGAATGATTGATTATAGATTCTACATCAATGGCGAAAAAGTAGAACGTTGATGAATGTGTGCGCTTTGGTAGAACGTTAACTAAACATGGGAAAATGGGTATGAAACGGTGAAGGCTTATGAGTGTTGGTAGAAAGGTGGTGAGAATTAATATTTGTTGAAAGAAGAGACAATAGTTTCTGTAAGTTTCTGCCCAACTTTCTTATATGGAACTCACAGTTGTACATGCCAGGAGAAAGTAAGTTCAGTGCAATGGAAACAGGTTTCTCTTGACATGTGTGTGGTAAAACAAAGATAGGGTAAAAAGGACATGGCTGCTGAATGAAGGTGGATTGAACCGAAAAATTGAATGACTGGAATGAAAGAAATATATTGAGGTGGCTTGACCATATCAAGTGAATAAATGAGGATCAAATTGGAAAACAAATATACAAAGGTGGAGTGAATAGATTGAGAGGAAAGGGGAGACTGAGAAGATTGTGTTTGGGTCGGTTTGAGGAGACCCTCAAAAAGACAGATGTTAGAAATTTAAAGAGCAAAAAGTAATGTATGAAAACAATGTATTTATATGTTCTTATCTCGGGCCTTTAATTTCTTTGGTTTACTATTTCCTAATTTTTTTTGCATTTGTATAACATACTTATCCTGAAAAAGAATAATGTGATGGATAGGTATGGATGGATGTAATTAGTCTTTTCAATATCAAGAGTTAATAGGATGCTAGTGGAATCTTTGGTTGACATAACAAATAGCTTTTCATTTGTTAGTTTGACTAATTAATGAATTTGTATGGCAGTGAGATCTAAGGGAGCAAATTACCAACAATATTGCTTGAATGATTAAGAAATAATCTAAATGAAATCTGCTTTATGCTTAACTGGAGCTATAATTAAAAGATTAGTCTGAGCTTGGGTAGCTATAGATAGATATAACCCTTGATAAAAA